TGAGGGGGGTTGCTGAGTTAAGTGGGCTGTTGGGTGGTGTGGTGGTGGCTCATGTTCGTTCCTGCGACTTGCTCGTTCTCCGATTCATTCGTTGATACTCTGTACGTACAAACTAGATAGACTTATTACTTACCTTTCGTCATTGCCCGCCTCCTCACTACTACTACTACTACTACTACTACTACTACTAAACTACTACTGACTGACTACCCACCCCCATTTATTGCATTTTTTTTCCTTTATTATTTCTCTCTCCCTTCCATTCAATCAGCTCACTCACTGTTCATCAAGCCGGCCTGGTATATAGTTTTGTTGTTGGGGCTGCGCTCTGTCTGGTCCAACCAAAGAATAAACCTTGCGGCTCCCCTTCCACCGCCCCAACTTGCGTCACTCTTCACCTCTTCACCACCACCCGAATTCCAATTCAACCGCCTCTCGCTGTAACTCTTGTGAATCGACTCCAGTCCTGATTGATGCCTGCCCTGATAGACCGATGGACCGATAGCACAATTGAGTGACCGGCTTCCGCCGCCCTAGATGACCGTCCTCACCCCTACTAGTCTCTTCTGCTACCAACTACTCCTCTCCTACTCCCCCTTCTCTCCCTCCTCGTTCGTCTTTCCATTCCATTCCCTTCCACCCAGGAGGCTATATATCAGGTATCCCTCCTCCACATTTGCCGTTCGATACTCCTTAATCCCATACCCTTTCCTCTACCGGTGCCGCCGTCCCCATGCCTGGCGTTCTTCCAGCCGCCCATCCGCAGCTTACTTCCGCACACCCGCTTGCTCCGAGCTATTCCACCTACAACAATCCCAGCATCAGGAATATTGTCGAAGGAGGATCGGTGGGAGCCAAAACAAATACACATTGCAGATCCAGTGAGACTTCCTCTGGGGACACGAGGAAGTGGTCCTCACCACTTCGCTTTGGGTTGTCCACCCCGCCGGAGGATATGGCAGGTGTTGCTGTAAAGCAGTCTGTCCCGTCGCTCCCACCATCCAGCTATGGAACAACAACCCCATATCGGATCCAGACGTCCTATTCGAACGCTGCCCCCGAGAGACCATCCATCCAGATAGTGACGAGGAGGGACATGGCCTCGAGCGCCGTGAGCTCCCGGATACAACAACCACCCTCTCAGACGAGCCAGCTCCCAGAGACCCGTGAGAAGGAGAACTCGGGCAGTTCAATAGCTCCGTATTTGCAGATTCCATCATCCATCAATCATAGCAGAGGCAGTCTGGCGGAATTCACTGCACAGGTATGTTGGGTTCAACGGGTCATTCCTTCCTTTCAACTGAGAGTTTTTTGGACTGCGTACCTAACATGACGGGCGAAGATTACATGCCTCTTCTGGTTCGAAAAAGCGTCGAAACTTAACGTCGTCCTGAATTCCTCGTCTTCAAAGTACCATATTCCACCACTTATGCCTGAATCGATACCAACAATCGGCTTTCGGAAATGGGTCACTACAATCCTTTCCACGACACAAGTCAGCCAAAATGTCGTGCTCTTAGCCCTCCTATTTATCTACCGTTTGAAAAAATTCAACCCCGCTGTGAGAGGGAAACGGGGAAGCGAATTTAGATTAATGACGATAGCTTTAATGATGGGAAACAAATGTATGGCCGGTACCTTATTTTTGAAATATTTATTTAACCGATTTGATATCTTCTTATGCTGATTTGATCATAGTCCTGGATGATAATACATATACGAACAAGACCTGGGCCGAAGTATCCGGTATCTCAGTCCAGGAAATCCATATAATGGAGGTGGAGTTTCTTAGTAATGTTCGATATAACCTATTCGTGACGAAAAGTGAATGGGAGCAGTGGCACACCAAGCTTGGAACATTCGCAGACTATTTCACAAAAGCTGCTCGACTTCCACTCGATAACGAGGCGCAACCTACCACCCCGACTACGCAACCCTCCCCTCATCTCACACCCACAACTCCTACATCTGCTACACATCTACCAGGCCGACCCCCAAAGCTACCCTCTCCTCCTGGCCTAACATCATATGTGCCGCCACACCATCCAAAATACACACCAGCGCCTCCACCCATTTTGGGCCACCCAAGTCTGTCTCCGCGTCAGTCGTCATGGACAGTGAAATCGAATTCGGGGCTTCATCGGAAGCGAAGCTGGGAAGGACCAGTAGAGGAGCATCCCTCAAAGAAAATGGCCATATCAACCGTGTCTGGCCCTGCGTCTCTTCCTACACTTCCACCCGTAACAGCAGTCACCGGAGGCCATATTCCACCCTTGACAATGCCCTCCGTTCCACAATTAGCAATTCCCACGCTCCCTTCGTCTCTACCACAACTTCCGCGGCTCAATTTTGCACTGGCACAACAGCATTACCCTCCATTTGCCCCACAATCACAGCCTCCACCCATCCTACCACCTTCTACCCGTGCCATGGCCACGGTTTACCCACCTGTTAGCACCTGGAGCCAACGCACGCCGCCAACGACGACGTTAGCCCCCATACCTCACACGCTACCTAGTACCTCTACGAACTACCCCGACCAACCCAAACACCAAAGCCAATACACCTCGACCTCCGCCACTATATCTCCAGCTCTCTCCGCCTACTCTGTACATACACCCACCCGACTCTCCCCATCCTTCGTCATCGATAGAAACTCCCCCTACCGACCCGTCCGGCAGGTCAACACATTGCTGTATCCTCCCCCATCCGCTTCTATGAACCATGCTCGCCATCTCCCGCTTGATCAGATGCACTACCAACCGTTGGGGAAGTCCGTAACTGAGCGAAAGACTGGTGTGCTTCCTTACTCCCAAAACAACAGTTGTAATGAAACTTGGTTTGATTCGCAATCGCATTTTCAGTCTAGCTGTCCGCAAAATCATCATCATCCACGTCAGCAGCATCAGCAAGAACTACAGCAGCTGTATCAAGGCCAATCCTTTCGTTGAATCAATTGAGGGGTATTTTGGAGCACTAGACACAATTCCATATACTTTAGACGATCTAATTTACCCCTTGTCGACGATGCGTCTCATTCCAATCATACACTCTTTTTAACGGTTTTTTCTTCGCTTTTATCTTTTGATTTCAGCTAGCAAACTTGTACAGCGTCGTTCCGGTCCGTTTCGTTTCATCCCTCTCTCTCTCTTATCTTTTTTTCTTTTTCTTCTTTCCCTCCAGCTTCATGACGAATACCACTTATATTTTTCCAAAGCATTGCGTCGGAGTTTCGCTTAGATGGGTGTCTATTATTGGTACTTTATATGTTATTTTTATCTTTTCTCTTTGTTTTTACTCCAGTTCATTTTCATTTCCCTTTTTACCGGGCGGTTTTTTTGATCTTCAATTATTTTTTCTCCTTTTTCTTTTACTACCATCAGTGTCACTACTATTATTCTATTTCCATGGGCGGTTCACTATTGTTGTTATCTAAGACCTTTCCACGGCGGTTTTTTTTTTTTTTTTAAATTGATTTTTCTTTCTTACCCTTTTCTGAATGAATTCCCTTTTTAATGATGTGAAAACACCATTATTATTATATTATCATGTGAAGCTAGAGGTAGTTAGTTACATGGGGCCGGAGGAAATATTATTGACTCGACAAACCATGGGTACGTACTTAGGCTGGGCAAATCTCCCTCCTCTTTATTTATTTATTTTGTATCTTTTCCCCCTTTTTTTTCCCGAATCTGAATAAATTAGAAGCTGAACTTGCATATACTGAGAATAATATTGAGTTTATCTCAGATTCATGAAGTCTAGACAGTGAATGTGAAGTTTTTGATGCTGAATTATTTGCAATAATGAAAGCATTCAGATTGATTGAATTGAAATCTCACAAAAGAGCTGATTTGAAAGAAACTGAAACTCTCATCTTAGCTCGCAGATTATAACAAAGAGAGAAATACTAATCTTTTTATTTTATTTTAATAGACAGACTGTTGTATTATTTTAATATCTGATTTTTTAAACACAGTTGAAATATCTGAAATACTGTATTTTTTCTCTTCTATATGATAATAAATTTTTAAATAATTGATAAATATCATTATATCTGTCTCTGCTGAGTTAAACAGTATAATAGTATCTGCTCTGAATATTTATCACTTTCAGTGTAGTAAATTATATAACTGATTATAAGAATAAAGAAAATCTATTATTTAGTGGAAAATTGTTATAATTATAAACAGAATAAGCTTTTTTTTTTCAAGATTGTTATGAATATTTACTCTCTGTATACATTCACCAATCCCTAATTGATTGATTGATTGATTGATTGATTGATTGATATATATCATTCCTCCCTCTTTTACTTCCGCTCCTTTCCCCCCCTACCCCTCTCCTCTTTCTATCGTCACGCACGACATGATGCAATTGCCAGGCAGTGCTTAATGCGCGAGGCATGGACGGAGGGGAAAGGGAAGAAAGAGGAGGGGGAGAGAAGATATTAGACGATATCTTATCTTGTCTGTCTCGTTGGTTGGTGCATTTTACGTAGGCACACGGAGTCTGTATGTATGTATGTATGTATGTATGGGATGGCCGTGCACGGGACAGGACCCGCTCACGTTGACCGTGATGGGTGTAAACTAAAGCTCAGGGAGGCTTCTCAAATATATATATATCGTTGGTTTAGATTATGTCGGGGGAGGGAGGGAGGGAGGGAGACTTGGGGGAAATCTTACCTTTTACTACAACATCAATATAGATTGATTGATTGATTGATTGATTAAGGGCCCACAATTCCCAGTTTACAAAAATTAATTCAGTCTTCGAGATTACTCTTCGATACCGCGGGCTCGTATCAAACAAAACTCACGGCCAAAGCTATTATAAAGTTAGCTCATAGAAGAAGACAAAGGGAGAGCGGGAGCGGGAAAGGGATGTAGAGAAAGAGAAGAGACACAGCAAATAGAGTTAAACTTGTGCTCTCGAACCCCATGGTAGTAGCAACAACCTACGTAAGAGCGTTCTCGCAAAACAAGAACAGAAACACTCAGATTTGCTGATGGCATTGGTAACAGGATAAACATCAGCCCTACACGGGAGGACAACAACAAAAGAAACTCATACAGAGATCTGGAGTAGGTTTCTTCTCAATGGAAGCTTTTCTTTTTCAAACACTATTTCTGACAGCTGCACTTGTGGGTGAGATGAGATATACGGTTTGGTGGGAGGTGCGATTGCTCAGAAGCCCGGCTGGATGGATAGATCGTCCCACGGCATGGTTTGGCTAGGAGAGGACTTTTTTTCGTCAAGATAGCTCGCTGTAGCTGTAGTGGGATTTGGGATTATTGGGGTGGAGTGGGATGCGGTGGATGGCATTGGCATATATGTGTATCCAGCGGCGCGGAGCGCCTCCACTCCTCATATACACCACATCATGTACATGTACCAGAGTAAAAGTGACGTGCTCAGTCTTCTTAGCAAGGAGGCTGAGATCAAACTTGCATATATTTGTGCGAGTAAAAGAGTGCAACCTATAGACATACAAAATGAGCTATAGCTAGAGAGCGACAGAGTGTTGATTCAAGTATTTTGAACTCTACCTGTTGACAGGCATAGTCCTTCAAGTCAAGATAGTTCCTTTCACTTCCACCGCATAAGATAAAAAGGAACAAGTACCAAAGATTGAAATTCCTGGGAGGGCTTCCTTCCGGAGTGGGTGGTGGTGTTAACGTCAAATCTGAAGTAAACATCGTCGAAGTCATAAAAACCTGCGCCTCCATCGGACTCCAGTCCGCATGCATCCATCCTTAGGGCTTGCCTCCCGCAAGCTCCTCCCTCATAGCCCCTTCTCGCGCCTTTAGCTCATCAGTGAGCTCCGGCCCAAAATCCTCCTCCGCAGCAATGCGTCTCAGTTCCACCCCGCCAGACTTGAACGGAATCTTCTTGCACCACTCGAGTGCTTCATCAACATCCTTGGTCTTGATCACCCACCAGCCACTGAGAGCCGGGTTCTCAAGGGGCCCCTTGACGACAACGGGGTCGGCAGCGGTGGAAAATGAAAGGCGGTACCCGTCGCGTGAGGAGGGGAGCAGACCCTCTCCGCTGACCATGACGCCGGCTTTGACGAGCTGCTCATTGAATACGGTCATGTCTGCAAGCTCCTGGGTCGTGGGCATCCTGCCAGACTCGGCGTCGGCGTCTGGGAGGACCACCACAATGAAGCGGGGCATGGTTATTTAATGGTAATTTTGATGGATAGGATGGTTGGGCTGGTGCGAGGATTAGCATGGGCACATGTACCGCTCGAGACAGCGTCTAGACATTCAGACACGAACGTCATGAGCTCCCGGGGGAATGGTTAAGCTCAACGCAGCCCCTATCCCCTCTCCGCTTTGCAGACTCACCTCGAATATCTGCTTGTTCATCAAAGGACACAGCGAACACAACTTCAAAACAACAACTGCCTGAGTCGCTCAGATCATTCCACTCTCGTGAGAGAGGTCCAACACGTTTCTTGTTATATAGACTTCGCGGGGACGTTTTCAACAGCATGCCAGGCAGCAAGCTCCCCTCAGAGTTGAACTCCTACGTACGTAGCGTAGGGCGTGGGTGCCTGGGAAATACGATCGTAGCGGCAACTACCAAGAAACCACTAATGCTCCGAACTGATACCTTTGGACTTCACCGCGGCGATCACCTATAAGTCTACATCATTGACAACCTGGAAGCCGCTGCACGCCAGAATGGCGGGCAGTTAAACAGGCCAAGCCAAATGCACTCGAGTCATCAAATAACATCACCTATGTAAGTACTAATTTGGTATGAGAAGCTGGGACGAGACAAACAAGACAAACACGCTGTACTCTGTACTCCGTACGGAGCAGTTATATAGCTTTCCCGCCCGACAACCGGAACTGCCGAAGCCACAGATTGATATGGCCGACTCCAGATTTCCGGCAAGAATACCTCAGCATTTCGATATGTGAGGTTTCAGTTGTGATGTCGACAGGGATTTTTCGCAGAGGCTCTGGTAGTTTTCGGGGGCTATTATCAGCCATGGCCGCGCATAACAAATCCTTTGAATGACTTCAAGGGCAAAACAGGTGGGATTTGATCGATCCTTTAGGCTTTCGAAGTGGGGAGTGTATCGATAACAGGGCTATTCGCAACGCACATGCCTTCTCCCGGGCAGCTAATTTTTTGTAGCTGAAAAGGGAGGGCCCATATCTTTGCCCATATTTTGCGGAATCATTTCATCTCCCAGCTCAGTCATAAACCACTCGATAAGAAGTCCCGTTTCAACTTTATATTCCTTTCTCAATCTCACATCTTCCCCAAGCCCACACGCATACTCTGGCCATAGAACAAGGATGCTCTTCAAACCATGTCAAGGCCACCCCCAATAAACAGCTCTGTGCAAAGCGCAAGCGACAGAAGCGATGATGAAGAACATCCCGCCGCACCCTCCGCACCGCCCGCATATCCATTTGTCAAGTTGATGGCCCTCGAAAGGTTAGATGAGAACGGAGATGCTACGGGCAACGGTGGATCTTGCGACAGCTGTGCGAATGGCGCTCAGAATGGGGAATCATTTCGATTTGAGAGGTTTCGGGCCCGGATGGCCCCGTATCGGCCAGACGATTTTAAAGTTGCGTATGGCGGACACGTTTACGCCCAGTCGGCATATGCTGCATCAAAGACTGTCGGGAAGGGTTTCGTTTTACATGTAAGGACCTAAAGTTACTTACCTGTTCCCATTTTTATTTTGTTTACTGTGTTGTTGTGGACACTGCTCTGCGCCTGCTAGGCAGGTAGGTTGAAAGGCACCTGTGCAGTATAAGTGTTTGACGGAAGGAATATGTGTGTGCCAAACAAACCTGAAACCAGCGCGAAGGCGAACAAATAATATTTCAGCTCAGATATCACCAACTTGTACAGATCCAACAGCTTGCGCTATATTTCAAAAAGAGGACAGCAGTAACTAACTATGGCTGTTCAGAATATAACAGGCTCGTTCACGCTCCCAGGGTTGGATGGGATCCCCTTCACATTTTCAGTGCGCCATGTTAGAGACGGTTCAACATACTGCCTTCGCGCCGTAGATGTTTCACAAGGCCAAGGTGTGTGTTTCAGCGCTCTCTGTAGTTTTAAACGGGCAGAGCGGAGGTACAATTTCCAGCATCAACCAGTCGCAGATATCCAGGAGAGATATAAAGTCGTCCTGGCGGGGAAGAGGATAGAGGACCACCCATTGGCGCCCTTCGTCGACAGGGCATCATGGAACCCCAAGGTTGAAGAACGCATAAGTGAAGAATTGCATTTCGCTGGCGTTGAGTCAAGGAAGGTAGCGATGGATGAATACAATGAATCAGTGGATGCTCGAAACCATAAAGATCGGTATCGCCACCTGCAATTCTATCGGCTCTTGGGGCTACCTGGCCTCGAAGACGAAGCAGATGCCGGCACACTCGAAGAGATTCGGAAGGCTGACGAGGCGGGAGAGTACGATAATCTCTATATCTGTGCCCATCTATACCAGAGTGACCGCAGTTCGCTACTTGTCATTGCGTGGGCTCACGACATGGTCTATGATATTACCAATATCGCGAGTCTAAGCCATACCGTGATCTTCCACACCCATGGGCCGGCATTGAGAATGATAGATTGGGATGCCCCTAAGGAAGCAGCGCGGAAGAAGTGGTTCGCGCTGGAAGCACAAACGAGTCGATCAGGAGAGAATCGAGGTCTCTTCCAAGCCCAGATTTGGAGCCCTGATGGCACGCTGGTCGCGACGATGATGCAGGATGGCATGCTAAGAGCTTCGTTTCCTAAACTTTGAACACCATTGCTCCCTGTTATATTAGACTTGCATATTTCAATTTAAATTAGATGGTGAAGACTGGATGTTTTTCAAATGCCATTTCCTGTTAGTCTTTGGATCTTTCCCGAAGTCTAACAATTGAGATATTAGTTCCTGGTTCAAATTTCAGACTGGTTGTATCCTAATCGATTCGAGGGAGGGTCGACGGAAGGGTCAGCCCTATGAGATCATGTGACAACTGTCTGCTTGTGACGCCAAATGCCTGGGAAGGGGACGGCGGCCAACTATCCATAACATAACAACCGCATTTGCGAAGTAGAACTCTGCCTCATTCAGGACCGTTTCCAAGACCGTCAACCATGAAGAATATGTTCCGAGATTCACGGGTATCATGAAGAGAACCCTTCTTTTGGTATTTATCCACGGTTTCAAGGTGTGCCACCCCTCGCGCCGCCGCCTCGCGCATTACGGATGGGAGGAGCTTTGGTAATATTAACAGCGCAGTCAATAGGGCGGAGAGGATACATTTGGAAGCTTCCCTGATCATCTGCGCGCCTTAGTCAACCATGCGCTGCCGAATATAGAGGTCACCGTAGCGGTGTACCCGAAGTTTGAGACGAAGGGGGATTTAAACGGGTGTGTGGCTAGATTTCGAGAATGGTTCGTTCCATATTGGCTTGTGCTTGATATCCGGGAGAAATTAACAGCATCTAACGTGTGAAGTTGTACACAGGCTCCAAAACACGGTTATAGACATAGAAGTCGCAAATGAAGCACCGTCTCCCACTGTCGACCCGTCTGTACATGTCTTTTTAGTTGGACATTCGATGGGTGGGATTGTTGGCGCAGAGACTTTGCTCCTTCTAGCGTCAGAACAACTCTTACCCACTCCGTCAAATATTTCACCCTCGAAGAGGTCAGGGGCGGAGGGCAAGCCTGTAGAAGCCAACGCTTTTATGTTTCCTCACATCCAAGGATTGCTTGCATTCGATACCCCGTTCCTTGGTATCGCGCCAGGAGTTGTCTCATACACAGCTGAAAATCATTATAGAACGGCCACTGCTGCGTACGGAGCGATTTCAGAGGTAGCTGGTGTATTTGGATGGGGAGCTGCGAAGAAAAGTGAAAATATGGCTAGAAGCACACCTGTAGCCGACGGAAATAGTCGATCCGGCGCATCCGCTCTTCCTCCAGCTACGAGTACATCTAGCATGACTTCCTCCACAGATGATGCTGCTGCCACGCCGTCCTGGCAACGCTGGGGACGCTACGCGATGTATGCGGGAGCTGCAGGCGCAGTTGCAGCCGGTGGAGCAGCTGCTTTATATTCTCAGCGCAATAAATTTTTAGAAGGCTGGAGCTGGGCTACCTCACACTTAGAGTTTGTTGGGTGTCTCGCACGGCCTGAAGAACTACGACGGCGCGTATCGGCGACCGCAAGACTGCAGCAGGAACGAGGGATCGGCTGTGCAGATTTTTACACATGTTTAGGGGAGGGGGCAGTCGCCGTCCCAGCTAGCAGCAGCAGCAACACTTCTTCCACAGCTTCCTATCTCAGTCGGTATATATTGCGCTCGAAGATGCGAACATTCTGCAACCTCCCGGCTGATGTTGATGAGGGCGAAAATAAAGGTGACATCAAGGCAAAATATAGCGATATGTCGGGGATCAAGTGGATAAAGGCCACGAATGATAAAGCAAATGATGAAACAAAAGCGCACATGAGCATGTTTTCGTCCGTGGAAAATCCATCCTTCTATGATCTCGCTCAGCAGGCTTGCGAGCTGCTGACTGGATGGGTCGATCGAGGGTGGTACTTGAAAGCTACCCGCGCTGGTGGTGGTCGCGGTAGTTCCAGTAACCCAAAAAGCAACAGCCCTGGGTCGAACCGTGGCCAGGATGAAGGGAAAGAGTTTGTGGAAGGCGAAGATGATGTTGTTCTTGTAGATTAGGACGGATTTCCGGAGTCCAAATTTCTTGCTCACTCTTTCCGAAGTTGAATTTGTTTCAAGCGGGCGTTATGCTGTATTTTTATGCGAGGTGCGAGGAATACACGATTGAATGATACACTTGAATAAGGAAAAGGGAATGATTGCCAGGGAAGGGTTATTATTATGTTTCTACAGTAGGGTGTTTTACTATACATCGGTACTGATCAAGGCAACGGTCATGGCTATGCCTAATCAGAGTATCTCGCGTTCTCAACGAAGAATGAGACATCTTTTGTGCCATCTATGCTCTGAAATTCCGTATGCGATAAAGCATTTGTTTTATACATGATATAGGACTAGCTAACTTTCAACATTTAAATGCAAACAACTTGGGAAAATTGCACATGATGGCGTCTTCTAATTCTAGGGACAATTGATTCGGAAATATAATGTGGACTCGGCAGGTATTTCGTTCCCACATACAGGAGTGGGAGTCAGTAATAAAGGAAAGGAAAAGGGAAGAGGTGTGGATTTTTCAAAGCAGGGCTGTGATTATTAAAATGTCTCTGTGAGTGATAAACAGTAAAGTACTAATATATATGTGACTTGTCTTGCTGATACATGAAGGGATTTGCAAAAATGTTGAAATAAAATAAAAAATAAAACAAAGAAAACAAAGAAAAAAACAAGATATAGAGGGAGAGAAAAGATAAAAGAAAAATTGGAGGCAGCCAATATAACCCAAATAGAACACCAAGCATTAAGATGTCGTTGAAAATTAGAAAGCCTGTAGGAAAATGAGGCTAGAACGGCCAAGAGCAACAAAGATAAAAAGGAATCCTCCTAGAGAGAGGGGCTGGAGTAATGTGACAATCTATGAGAATATGACAATAGCAAAGATATTAGTTTCAATTGGATGGCTTCAGTAGTTCGTTGGGACACCGCCGTAGATGGACGTTCGCTGGTGGTACAAGCTGCTGGCGTATTCGGAGTTGTTGTCATGGTAAACAGTAGCCCTTCGGTCATCTTCTAGAAGTTCTTTAACTTCCCAGTTATTCTGTTTAACACCGACTGAGAATTCAAGATCTTCTTTCGTGATGGAGTCCCAATACTATTCAAATGTTAGCTCAGCAATGGCATAGCGTGTGGCGGGAAGAAAGAGCAAGATTCGCGTACCTTATAAACCATCATAACTCCTAGAAGATTGCAAATAGTTGCAAAGAAAAGGCCATCCAGATAGTGTTGAACATTTTCGCAGATGGTTTCGCTGAAGACGTATAGAATCACTTGCCCGATGAGGAAAAAGAATGTGCCAAAAGCGATGTGGCCCAATGGCCATCGATCTTGTAGAGTATTCACGACAAGAATAACCTGCATTAGTAGATAGATGATCAGGCAAAGTGCATTCAGGATATACAACACGACGAATAACCCAGCAGTTCTCGTCGGCGAGAGCCCAGCCCATCCCTTGAAAGTTAGTAACGAAATCGCGAAGGAAACAGAGAACATTCCCAGGGATGCTAGTCGAAGAAGCCAAACTGATAATGTCGTCCCATCCTCATAGAGCTGGAATCCCACAAATCCATTGATGAGCAAGCAAGTACAGAGGGCGGATGTTAGACCGTTCTGCACGGCTGCAAAGTACGGGAAGACAGCATTTCCAGGGGGAATAGCGCCGGAATCAAGGACAAGCGAAAACATCGTCAAGGCCATGTAAAGGTAGAAGAACGTGATAATTTCCTTTCGACCTAAAAAAACGAGTCCAAATCCGTATTAGAATCATATGGTCATCTAGATCATCCATTCTCAATTTCCGGGCAAGTTTCATACGTACCCACAGCCGTAAATTTCGACCGTACATGGATTACCATGATCACCGTCATTACCAGAGCAGCAATATGCGCAACACCAGTAGCTCCCTGAAAGATGATCGTATTTGCGACTTCGATATTCCTGGAGTAGCAGTTGGCTAGATAGCCCCGTGCGCCGTTCGTCACCGTTGAGGGAGGCCCGACCAAAGAGCATAGAGGGATCGATGCCTGCCGACATATGAAATCAAAGTCACCGAAGCCCATTGTCTACTTGGAGCGGATCGTCGACCCGCGTGCTACTTCAGTCAAATGAGAAGGCAGTAGGGTATATTCGCGTTAACGAAGGCGCCAAAGGTGTCAAGGAGAAACGGCAAGCGGGGTGACAGCACAGGAGGATAGAGAGCAAAGAGAGGTCAGACCTAGAGGGTCATTGCGTCCAGATTACAGACTTTACGGCTCGGCTAGAATCCGTCCTGTCGATAATAACAAAGGACGTTGGCAATGAACGACTAAGATAGAAAATTGGAAGACGATTAGCGTGGGTAGGACGATGTTTCAAGGTTGACGTTGGAAATTGCTATTTTGGGGCAGCGAGTTACGGGTCGGTCTGACAAATATTGCGCTTTTGCTCAGCGAGCCCCAAAAATAGAACCTATTCTAAATGTGGACTAGTGCCTCTAAAGTTTAAAACGACTCCGCGTCGCTTCAGTATCGTATCACTACCTACTTTACAACAACCTGTTCGTGATAGATGCCTAGATGCTGAATGATGTCGTGTTGGCGCGTCTGGCATCACGGACCATTTCTGCTCGTTCCTTCAGGATAGGGTTCGTTGCGCTCTGTTAATTGTCACCTTCATTATGCTGCTCTCTTCTGCGGTCAATACGGGTGCAGCTCATTTCCGCAAGGACTTTTTCAAAAATGAAGGACCACACACCGACCCTGTCGGTGCCACTATGGCCAAGCCTTCAAACAACTAAATGTATGGATCCTGGCGTCTCAAGTTAGAGAAATCTAGTCAGCCAACAACGCCATTTGTTTGGGCTTGTCATTGTCAGCAAGCTGTAGATCCCCTCAAGGCTGGGACATCTTGATATCATAGCTCCTGCAAGGATGAAAAACAATCCCTGTTATTTATTATCCGTCCGAGAAGTATGTTCGGACGCTTGGCTTGCTTCAATGTTTTTATGTGCCTGTATTAATCGGTCTGTCGAAGTTAATCTTAAGGCATCAATGTACCTTCAATCAACTCTAACCACGTTTGAGATTTACGCCACGCGGAACAAGAACAGTGGGAAAAATGAGGGATCCAGTGTTCCGACCCATTGTGGAGCGATATGCATGCACAACTTGATGTTGTCTGTTCAGATGGTGATCTGTGCCATTTCAGGTGTTCTCAATGTGGTATGCCCTTGATCGTCGTCCATATCAAATTCTTCAATCTCTTCGCGTTTACGGTTTAAATTTGCCGATGTGACGTGCCGTTAACAAACCTTCGCGCAAGTTTTACATATTGAATACTTCCTAGAGGTTTCAGCCGAACTTTATTTTTATATGACTCGATGTGTTGAGTTCTCCGGCCTTTAAGCGGTCCAGATAGCAAGAGTACATTGCAGTTCCCCGTGGGGCTAATAATGCGTGTTATCCGGAGCCCTACAAGGTTTTCCCGCTTCGCGATTGCTGTACAACTCTTTTTATTATTCGTGCAATAATACAAATAAACAGCCACATTTTTCTCGTGGCATCCCTGGCATATCCTTGGATCGTCAATCTTTAGCCACCGTCCCTCTCGATCGCCGACAACCCCCACTGGATCGACCGGGAGATGATATTCTTTGTAAACTCCAGAAACTTCAGATTGCCTTGTTTAAATAGACTTTCAGCAATCTGATTAATTTATCCTGGCCAATTCCGTGAAGGTTGCCTTTCTTGTTTCCTGCCAATGGAGAATTTTGAGACCACCTTGAGGTGTAACCAGGTTGCACCGTTGCCCTTCATGCTTCTATAAGATCCTACAAAGAGGGAAGGGTATGTCCTCGAATACCCACTTTCTACAGGATACCTTCTAGCATTGTTACTGCAACAAATTCACTCCTCTCCCTCCGAAAATTTAGGTATGACAAAGTCCCTTTTGTGCTTTATGGAGACTTCCAAATTGCTAATAGCTATGAAGTTTCAACTCGCCCTTGGCCTATCGAACTTCTTGCAATGTGCAACTTCTTCAAAAACTTTTACATCTACAGCGCCTGTCGGGATCCAGCAAACCATTTCTTCCGTATTTCGACTGATGGATCTAGCGGAGTCCGATGCGACGGGAGCCCCCATGAAAGATTTATCGTGGTCGTTGGTCAATGTCGTCTTTGCAAACGCTAGGATTAGACCAACCGTTTTCCAACCCGGCTCATTACCTCCAATGCGTCCCGAGACAGGGAGACACTGTTACCCGGAATGTTCTTTAATAATTGCAGTAATCAACTATCCAGGTACGACTCATTCCTTCTAAATTATGCACTTGGCCGACTTTTTATTTTGCCTTGCCTCCCTCTTCCCTTTTACCTCGATTTCTTTTCTATCTCGTCTTTTCCTTGACTGCTTGACGCGATCGGGAAACACTTCTCAGCTTTTACATAATCCCAAGCTTTTTGAGTTGTTTGACCCATGCCTTATAAACCTTCATTGTACAAGGGTTAATATTAATATCTGAACAGGGGTCTCCTTGTAGTCGTTGACACAATTATTTTTCCATTTGATCATTGGGTATACATTATGAGGCGTTATCGCGGACTGCAAAGTCCCACTGGTCATTCGCTGGGATTTAAATTCCCTATTTATTTTGCGGCTAGGGGCGTTTTCTAGGGAAAGGATGGTGGAGAAATGGTCTGTGAGTTTCTTGGGTTTCTTGTTTTTAGTGGTTTGGACTGGTTCTTCGCGCTTCAAGGGGTGAGAAGTGACGGAGACCCGCATATAGCACATACCTGGCTTCATTCGTTCCTATTGACTCGTCATAACTGTTTTGGTGGCATCTCCCCTGTCCTTAATACATCATTTCCACACATGTATTCGTACTGCATTAGCCTTCGGGCGTTGCAAGGAGTCGGTGATCAAACGTTGTCACGTTGGAAATTCTCCATAACCCCTGTTCCCCCGCAATATCCCTAGCATATTTGCACGGCTCATGACCGATCTTAACTTGCGAGTATTCCTTATCATGGTTGAGCCGGAACGCGGGCCGATTGCTATCATCCAGACACCCTCATACTCATTTGCGCGGCCGGACTCTTTGCTCCAGTACGTCACCGAATTACTCTTGCTAGCCAGCCATTTTTTGAGTAATCAGAACGTGCCTATTCGAACGGTAAGCTATAGAGTCTGCTTTTAAGAAAAAATAACTGGAACGCATTTCTCCATCCCTCCCTCGTATAGTGACTAATATTCTCTGATAGGCTTATAACTCCTATATCTATACCCCCCCTACTCTTCATGGCCCAAAATTTTGTTACAAGCATGCAAGAAGCACCAGTCTGGCCCACATTGATACAGTCTAATAAGACCTTGAACTAATGGGGGCTCCGGCCGATGCGAGCTGGGGGGGGGGGGGTCACTTGTATCCAGGCAGAGCTGGCACAACGCTCTACGCGAGGCGCCTCAATCTGGGTCCTATATTACCATGAATCTAAGTGCACTATATGGTTCAGCTTTATACCCTCGTGGAGTATTAATAAGAATTGCTACGTCTTGATTGGCGATTCTTCTGTCAAATGATACCTTATTTCGCTAAGGATGGGCATCACATTAATGGAGTGCCAACAACTTTTGAAATACACGAGGAGAGAACGGAAGGGGCGGCTTCCTGTTTGTTCCCCCAGTGATATGTTATCGACCACAGATGTTGCTGTTCTCGGACAGTCCTACGCGCCAATAACGTTTTTCATTCTTGCACACCTCGCTGCTGTCTGCTGTGCTATATCACTTGCTATATTAGTGACTTCAAAGACGCGGTCTTGGAATCTACTTCCTGATATGGTTTTGATGAAGCGAATTTAGGCGGGAATTTCTGATTCTGCTCATTCACTTCCTTTCCTTGTCTAGCTAGATCGTGCTGGCCAAATAATTGGTTACTCCTGAAAACCTAGAAATGGATAATTCCAAATATCATCTATAATATTTCTATAATATTTCATATGTATTTTCCATGGCTTCGCCGGTTACAAGCGTAGTAGTAAGAAAGGTATAGTGAGGCCACCAGACAGCATTGAAATATATGATAGCGTTTCAGCCAGTTGGTTGGCAATCGTATGTCCGAGGTGACAATAAACCTATCGTTTATTTACATTATACGCCGAATGATGCGGCTAGCTATCATTGCTCTTAGTATTTGCTGATCAGGAGGCGTTGTTTCCCCTCCCCTGAGCGTTGAAATTCTCCTTCGAGTTGCTCAAATATTGCAACGTAGCAATCAGATAAGTTATTTAGAGAAGGATGGACAACTGACATTTGGTGATGGTTCAATTTGCAATAATAATAATGATTACCTTCTATTGTTCCCTTGTGTAGCAATTAGCTATCACGGATATCATTCATACCCAGAAGTATATTTTTATATATATATCGGTGTTGAGAATATGAGTTTGTGTTTTGCATAAAGGGGTAACTTAGCTAATGTTGTTAGTTATTGATATTTGAAGCCTCTTCATCCCTTTCAACTTGTTTGGTTCTTGTACGGACATTCTTCGCTTGTTTCGCCTGCTCTTCATGCTTGTTCCAGATACTTTGGGCCTGAGCTCGGCCACTTATTGCTAAATTTAACATCGTACGATAAATTATGCGTAGGCCAAAGTGGCTGCTGATCGCGGGTTCCGGGTTTGCAACCTCGTAGAGAACGCGGAAAAGGGGGACAAATGGCTTGCATCCCTCTGCATATTATCCCGTAAGACGCTGATCAGAAACAAAAGATGCGCTCGCTCGAAAGCGCGCATTGGCTATGATTGACACAAAATGATCTCAGCATCAAGCACTGGCGGAGGCGTGTATACAGAAAACTTGACCTCGCTAAGTGCGCCACCTGACCTCGTTATGTAAGCTGACCTCGCAAATTGTTGGGGGTCCCGCGGTTGGTCGGCCCTTCTACCAGCAGTGCGCTGGTGGTGATTGAGCTCTTTTGCCCCAGTAGCCTACACAAATTGTGGCCTGTGCCACTACCTGACCTCGCTCAATACATCTTTTCTTGTAATTTGAAACCACTCAATTATTTACCATCAATTCTACAATCAATTCAAAATCAATTTAAAATCAATTTAAAATCAATTTAATACTGAAATTATTCTTGAATTTAATAATAAAGTAAGTATTTATATAATTTACACTGAATTGATTATTAATTGATTTTCAATCAATTGTTAATTACTTAAATATATAGATTGAATTTATTTTTATTACTATAATTAATTAATAATCAATTTAAAATCAATTTAAAATTAATTATTAAATATTTTTATCTTAATATATTTTAAAATTCTGTAAAATATCTCTTTATATTCTATATGAATTTATCTATTTATTTAATTGATTATGAATCAGCTATACATGCTTTTTGATTGATTGATGAGCTGAATGAATGAATAAATGAGTGAATTGAAAGATTGAAAGTCAATTATCAACTGATTATTACTGTATTGTGTGAGGTCAGTGTCATGATTATGTAACAAGGTCAAGTGGCGCACTTAGCGAGGTCAAGTTTTCTGCTTCCTGGGCGGAGGCCTGCTTCCTGCATTAAGAGTCCAATTAGTCAGGACTACTGGTACAATTCAGGGCCGTGGCCTAGGGAAACGGAGTTTTTTATGCTTTTCTGCGACGTTTACTTGCATATATATATATATATATATATATATATATATTTTTATTTTTTATTTTTATTTTTTTGAAAAGCCGATACATAGATCGGCAATATAACACTTGGCTGACTGGGCAGGCGTAGACAGGAGATTATATGATCTCCCTGTCAAGTAGATAAACATCACTTTATGTATAGTTGGAGCTGAAAGGGAATTTAAAGGTGTGAATCAAGGCTCCTTTAAACTGGTCTTAAATACTAAATCACAGCAGCTCAGAGTCATTTCTGGTATGGTTTCTGTTGTTTTAGGACCCTGCAATACAAGTGCAAGGGGAAAGCAAACCTATATTTTCAGTCTGAGTGCTGCTAGTTACATAAATGTAATGTGCATACATACTAATGCTACAGAAGTGTGCTCAATTCATTACTTTTGTTCAAAGGCAACGGAATAGACGCGAAATCAATAGAATAGTAAGGAAACAAGGAGAGGAAAATTATCACGAAAGCATATGCTTCTTGCGCTATAAGCTGTGTTGATGGATGGAAAACGAAGCGTGGACAAACAAAGTACTATCTGACCTGATCCTCTCTCTTTCGTTCAGCATCTTCAATTCCAATGAGTAACTAGTAGGAAGACGGTGGATGATACAAACATGGAATCTGGAGCCCTCAAGCTACACCTTGAAAAGACCAGAACCACATAGCCCCGAGGGGCAACTTTAACTTGAAAAGTGAGGCTTGTGTACGTAATTTCATATTGCAAGGCCTGGTTAAACCCCAGTTGGGACATGGGAATCCTCCGAAATTGAGAAGTCCATATCACTAGGTGGTCGTTTGGGCTTATCCGGGTTCAATTGGGCGTGATGCTGGTTCTTGACCTATTGCTGCAACACCCAACTCGTCGTGCTTCTGAAGCGGATAGGTTCGGTGTCTTCTGTAAGTACCGTTACCGCATCGCTCTCATCGACTCTAGGTGTATAGTGTAAAGCATTCGGTGTATGTACCGATGATCTTGTGTGCGTGTTCGTTGCTGACGCATTCGTCCGTGAAAACTTAGATGTGAATCCCGAAGGTAGAATATCCTGGGCGTGCTCATTTTCTTGGCCCTTTGCAAGCAAAGTCGGAGACCTGTGAGAATCGACAGTGTGAGCCTTGGCTAGGGGTTGTATTCCTTATGGACTGGTACAACCTTTGGGAGCCCAAAAGCGGAATTGTGGCCTCGTAACACGAGAGATTTAGGTCTGGGCTTGATGTGAGGGATGCTTGACTTTGCTCCAGTGAGGGCTTTCCGAAATATAGAAGTGTGTTTCTCTTCAGTGTTGTGCAGTTTCGACCTGACAGAAGGGGTATACGGTTTTTCGAAGCTGATTCTACATCCCAGTATGGTTTACCGGTGGTCTTCATGCTAGTATTTTTGATTACGGGAGCTTTATGATACCCCGAGGCAAGCCCGAGATTTAGACGCAGGCCTTGATATCGACTATAAATCCCTCCGGGATGCCGCTGCTTTTTAGGCCTTATCATTACGCAGGTTGCAAGGAATATAAAAAAGACAACAACTAGTTACAAGTAAAATGTTAGATGAAAGTTGAATGGAAGTCCCGAAGGTGGGCTGATTGTCTTTGCTTACCTACTATCCCTGTCATTAAAACTGCGAGATGCGTAGGATTACTACTATCCAAACCGCCCTTTGAAGGAGACGAATTTGCAGAGTTTGTAGGAGATGGGTTAATGGTTCCGGAACCCGAGGTTTTTGGTGAATCAATTCCTGGTTTTTCAGTCTCGCTGGGACTGGTGTTTGCAGGTGGTAATGGGTTAATGGTTCCGGAGACCAAGGCTACTGGTGAGTCGATTCCTGGCTTTACAGACTCGATGGGACTGGTGCCGGCAGGTGGTATTCCGCTACTGAATGTGGTAGGTTTGGGCTGTTCTTCCTCCTCTCCCGCGTTCTCATCCCCGCTGGTGTCGATACCCTCGCCATCCAAATCGCCCTCATCATCCTGACTTTCTTCGCTGTCAGTCTCGGATTCAAGTCCCTCCCCTATCCTTGAGGCCGGGTGTATTTGATTCCGGTTCACGTGCGCTAAGTTGCAGTCTGGCGAACCTTATATGGCTCTGCCTGCTCTGTCGGTACATGAAAAAGCGAACGACCTCATTCCGTCTCCTCTTCTCGGTAACACCCGTTGCTCGAGGAGATGTATTGTGCTTATTGGATCTTGATCTCTTTGTAGGATATATGAGCTGCCTCAGAGTATCTCCCTCATCGGCCATAGACCCAATCAAACTAGCCATATTTTCAACTATCAAAGGCATAGTTGTGATCTTCGATAACCTTCGCCCTTGAAATCGACCAAAAAAGAGTCTGCGTTGTTTAAAGCAGATAACTGGCGGTAAACGGCATGAGTATGCGGTCCCTTCTGCCCAATTATCACGGAACGGCGTGTAAGTAAAGCGAGGTAAACAGGCCAGCTGCCTACTAGATCGACAAAATCAGATCCCAGCTGGGATAGAAGAAAAACGGTTCGTAAATCAAGTCTATAGCGTATACTCAATGCCAAAAGCCAAAATATGGCTAAAGTCCCTGTGTGAAAACAATATTACTGAAGAAGGGCGGAAGGACATTTGACTTCGTTAACTGATGCAAGGGGGTTCCACCTCGCTATATACCTCTTTTCTTCCGCTGGTTTATTGCTGTTTTGATATCGTCCTTAGGATAATGGCATTATTGTTATTGTTCCTCCGGGGCTTGAAGGCCGCCTGTATCGAAGTGAGAAAAGAAGAACAAATTCCAAACATTGAAAAGAGAGAATAGTCAGGTACTCGAGGGGAAGGGATAGAAATGTTGCCCAAGACCGGATCCGGTATTGTTATGCACGGTACGACAAATGGTCCCCTCTCAGGAGAAGGGGTGCCCCGGATTCAGCTGCTGTTAGCGACCAAATAAGGGGAATAAAAGACCACCATAGCAGTCAAACATCATGAAATGCTGAAGGAGTAAAAAAAACCCATGTCTCATTGCCTAGGGCGCCTACGCAAAGCTGACGGCTGGTTTCAAATGGAGATAACATCTTTGGCTGGCGCACTCATTCCTTCCAGAGGTTTGAGGATCTGGATGTATGCTGTTTGTTGCCACTTTCTTTTGAACCCACCAATAGAAGATCTCAATTCTTCCCAATGTGAGGTGAAAATATTTTCTGGTAGGCGAAAAAAGCAGTTTTTGTCATCTGATCAGTTTTGCAAATCCCCCATCCCTTATGCTCTGGTTTCTGCAAGGGCTGGCTTCTCAAACACTTAGAGTCGCGAAAGTGGGAGTAAGATGTCCTTAGGATACCTCTTTGCAATAAAGGGGTTTATAAGATACCAGAAGAACTGATTCAGCAATTATTAGATTTTTTTGCTTTGTCTTTCTGACTCGCGGCAACGTTAGATCTCTGGTGTCGAGTCAGAGAAGCGTCGCGCGATTTTGCAAGCCCCTGAAAACGCAACCAGGTGCCAAGATATCAAACAGCTCGTGTTTGAGAAGAATCAACCAAGGAAGACGTTTTCATACCCAAAATATTTGAAACTCTTCGTCGCATAGGAATCTCTTTAGTCTCTGGATATCATGTTGTTGAGGCTGTCTGGGCCGCCTTGGCCATCAACAGTCACGTGCATTCAAGCTAATGGATGTTGGCTTTAATTGACGTCATTCACCTACTATGGAGAACACTTATGCTGATAACTGTGCAGAGTAGGAATCTATATACAAAAGGCATTTTTGATAAAGAGTCGCCTCTTCGCCCTCAAAGGAAAAAGAAGTTGTAACTATTTGACCACTTCAGCGCCCACCTACTTTGAACTACATCGGTTCAATTCGCGGTTTTTGGTTCGCGAGTCATACAATAAAGCTGGAAGCAATGTTAGCGAATAAAAGACATGATAGCAAGCATCTAACCAGTGGGTCATGATGTTGTGGTGGAATATGCGAGCTCCTAGCCTTAAAAAAGGAGGATATTAAACATATTCACGAACATCGAGGGCAACACGAAGGCTTGATCTAGAGGTTCATGTATCTCACCTTGCAGACTTCCTCCCCATCATGACACTCCATTTCCTTCGCAAACTTGAATCCCATTCGGCCATAGATCTCTAAATTCGGTACATCCCTGGAACTTTCCAAATAGCACTTCATTCCTTCCCGATCGGCCTTATCCGTGACAATCTCGACCAGTTTTCTTCCAATACCTTTTCCGCGCGCATCGTCCGCAACTGCAATGACATTGCAAAAGTAATAGCCACGTGGGTCATCCCAGATGGCGCTTTGAATAGCAGTTTGAGCATCCTTCCAGATCCAGTAACGTTTGACGTTCAGACCACCGTGCCCGCGGAAAAGGATATTGTTTGCTATCTGGCGAAAGGTTAAGATCCAAGATTGGAAGTACGAGTACCAGCTTTCTCGTTCGGACGGCGGGTGGGGAGGAAGCCACATCGCAACGCCGATAATGCGAGCTGCATCTTTCTTGGATCGTCCGACAGACCCTGCTTGATCACCATTCGATGATGGTACCCCCTTGGCAACGTAGAATAGACCATTGTTGATACCCCATAAACAGCGGGCTGTGAGGGATGCTGCGTTTCTTTCCTTCGAGAACTGTTCAATGAAGAGAGCGAAATGGATCGACCCAGTAGCGGACAGAAGTGTATCTCCCGCGGACCGCAAGCCGTTGAATTAAAGGTTAGTACTAAAGACAAAATACTGTTCCTGGGATGTGGAATATCATCATTCTCTAGTAGGGGGCATGAGTCGTGTGAAAAAGAGCTGGAGCCAGTGGTGTTTGAGCAGTTGGGGGAAGTTTCTTTCGACGAATCACTCTTTCAACACGCTGTCGGAACATATTATATATTGACGTGGGTACGCACCTTTTGCGCATCAAAGACCCAGAGGAAATAAGGGTCAGCCTCAAAGGCCTTTTGGACAATCTCAACAACAGCAGGAATGTCCTCCTTGGTTAAAGGGCTTATCTCGATAGTCATACTGAGTGTAATTATTGGGAGACTTGCTGTAGAATCTCGGAGTGAGGACGATTGTGGTAACAATGCCTATTGCAAACTAGATTCTGCTATATGAAAGGCGGCTCCGTAATGGACAGACAAAGAGCACATAGATCAAAAGGATCAAGTAGAGGCAAAGTCTTCATGAATAGCAAGGTATTTGGTAGCTATATGAAGAGATGGAAAGGAATAATTCTGCTGTCAAGCTGGCCATCACCTGCCCGTTCTCTTCGCACACTCAGGAGCTGGTAAATGATATCTGCCAACGTGGCTAGTCCGAGAGTGCTCGGTAACTTAGAGATGATAATGTTTGTGGGGTTAAGTATAAGAGGAAGAGACTGTTTTCATATTGTGGCGGACATATTACTTGCGAAAACAGAATTTTCCCAGCTCCCTCTGAAAATTAGTAGCAAAACACCACCAAAAAATCAAAAAACCTGCATTTCTCTAGAATCATTCAATATCATCCAATACACATCTTTTTCAATCAAATATCATCCAAATATGCGTCTTTCTTACCTTTATCATCAATATGCCACCTCAACTCTGTGATTTCACTATCAATGAGATTGTACACCTTCTTAAGAATGATTATATATCCGCTGAGATTGTGTGAAGCATTGATTGTCATCTAACTACTATATATTGAATTCAATAAAATCTTTGCTGATTTGAAACTGCTAGAGAACCTCATTCAATACACAGTGTAAAGTCAAAGATCACACTAGATATCTTGTCAGAATTGAAGGATTTTTTCAAGATGTATTCAACTGCATATCACAATAAGACTGTCTGCTTTATGAAGAATGAATTTAATATTGATATTCACTCATGATTAATATCTAGAGTATTGAAGAAACTGAATTTGATATAAAAGAAGATAATCAATATTATAATTAAATATTACTTAATATATAGAATCTACTAATTCATTAGTTCTATAATATAGATTGAACTCATAGTCACTTAATACAATGAAGAACTTCAAGCTGAATAATATATTTAACTTACTTAGTATCTCTCTGATCAACTGATCTTTTTAAATGAGAGTGCTATAAATAAATGTACAGTGAATCAATGATATGAATAATTAGACTGACCGTGTGACTGTGTCTGAGATCAGAACCAGATTTTTTGATAGTTTCATTATCAATTCAACTGATTTCATTACACAGTTTTAACATTAGATAGTAGTTTTATACTATCTCAGTGAGACTTACTGTCTACTCTTATCACATTTTTCAAATAAGATCATGATTTTTACTTCTCAATTTAAATTATTTTTATTACTTTAAATGACTTTAAATCTCATTTAAGTGTTATCAAAAAGTGTTACTTTTTAAAAAATTAAAAATAGTCTAAAAAAAACCTTAAAATGTCTAAAAATAGTAACTTTATGTCAAGAATGAGACTAAATGAGATCAAATAAGATCACTTTCTCATTGTTTTCAGTCATAGTTTCATTTAAGATCTGATATATAGTCACTTTACATGTTTTTTTATGACTAGTCCTCAGCAGATCATGCTAAGAAATTGTATGAGATCAGATCAATGAGATAGCTGATCACTGAGATCATGAATTCACGTTGATCTCATTTGATCTGGTCTAGACTGGCCGCCAGAATTATGAATTTCACATTTGATTCATTTGATCTGATCTCATACATTTCTTGATGTGAGTCTCATCAGAATCAAGCCTTAAAAAAATCTGAAAATGAACCATTTCTGAGAGAAATGATGTGAAAAATGACCAGATTTAATTCAAGAACAGTGAAATGAGAGTAATTTTCCAGAATAAACTGTGAAAGATAATCATTCTTTCAAAATCAGAATAAGACTGAGACTGAAGATTAAAATCAGTTCTATTCAGTTCATTCAGTGATTGCTTATATAATCAGAATTTGATAATGATTATTAATAACACTTATGAAACAACTAAATACATTCTTGTACAAGTTTATTCTTCACTTTCTCATGAAAACTACACTTCTCTGATATACTGTGATCAGAGGTATTAAACTATCTGATAATTCTATGTTTTATAATCATGAGTTTCTTAATTATTTCTTCTTATAATTGTCTCTGATAATAGTGATAAATATCTTAACTTGAGTTGAACTTTTACTTTATTCTCATCTCTATCAATGAAATTGTCAGAATATCACACATTATCAGTGTAACAGTTGAATATATACTCTCAACAATTTTTTATAACTCTAGAATTGATTTAGTATGTAAATTTATTGAATCATCTTGAAGATAGTAGTCAAATTCAATTTTATAAGTATATAGTTTTGCCTGATTTTCAGTTGCAATCAATACATATAAGTTCTGTTTC